ACATAGTTCCTGTTGAATGTGTTGTTTCCCCGGGGCTGGCCCTGCCTCTCTGCTTTGTAGACGTGGGACCTTGGTGGGATGTGCCACCAGGCTCTAGCGGGGCAAGTTGGGTTCCCACTGGGGTTGCCCATTGCATGTGTCAGTGGTTGCACCTTGGGATGGTGGGCCCTGGGCTGCCACTGTGCCTTTTTGCTTTGCCAGGGTACCCAAGACAGCATTGGACTGAGGCAGCACCGTGTGCCGTTTCCCTGGGAGAGGGCATACATTTTCCATGCATCCTTCCCAGCACCTGGGTTGCATCGGGACGTAGCAGGCACTACCTGGCCAGGCATCCTCTGCTGCACAGAGTTGGAAATAGCAACTGGAGTGGCAAAAAATCTCCGTCAAGGACAGTGATGGACAGCTAAGAAGGTGGGGGGGGGTTGGGGGGCCCCCCCCCCCCAGCCTTGGGCTATTGTGGAGCCACGGTGGGAGTGATGAACCTGGCTTGGCTCAGAAATGCTAGTGGAGCAGCGGGTGCTGGGGCTGGCGTGGGTAGCGGGGCCATATGGAGAGGACTGCAGGGCAGCTGCGTTCTGGAGAGCAGCGTCCCTGTGGCGGGGAGTTGTGTGTGAGAGCTGGGAAGGAAAAGAGAGGCAGACTGGAGACCGGTGTAGGAGAAAGGGCTCTGAAATGCAAGTGGCAGACAGATAACATTGGAGGGAGGGCAGGGCCTGCCTGGGCTTAGGAGAGGAGGGGAGCTCTGGTCAGCAGAAGGGCATGGAGATGGTGTGGGAGGGAGGCTCAGCAGGATGCTGACCTGTGCTGTATGTGTTTGGGGAGAGCAGCGCTGAGGTTATGGACTGAAGAGAAAAGGAAGCTGGCAGCTGAGATGAGGGAGTTTGGCTGTGCAGAGCTTGGGAGAGGGCAGGCCAAGAGTTAGTTTGGATGGAGAGCCGGAGGCCTGGAGTGCAGTGCAAGCTGCATTTGTGGATGCATGCCCAGAAGGGGAAGGGCAGAGGGTGGAAGGGAGGAGAGTGCTGGGGGCCAAACTCTGGCCTCCAACGAGCAGAGGTGAAGGAGAGCTGGGAAGGGTGCAGAGGGATTTTTTTTACAGGCTGGGAGGCAGGGGAGGGTGAGGATGGAGGGCTGATCCTGGTGTTGGGCACTTGCTCACAGTGGAAACCAGTGTGAATCAGCACTGTTGTGCTGCCAGGAGAGGATTGTGCTGCCAGCCTCCCAGCTCCTTATGCAGAAAGCCAACTAGTGCAGGACAGTCCCTATAACACTGCCGTGAGGGCCCATGAGGCTACCCCAAGCCACTTATTGAGGGAGAATCATTATATGAGTGTGTCCAAAGAGTCCCTGCTTAGTCCCCACATGCCCCATCTGGGGACATGAGCGCCTTGTCCCTGTGTCCTTGACTGGGCACAGGCCTGTCCCAGGAGCCATCTGGCTGATGGCAGATTATCCAGTCTGTGCACAGTGCTCCGAGGACCTGGGGGCACCAGAGGTCTGACACATGGTCCCCGGACCTCGAAGGACTCAGGGACCTTGTCCTAGCCACCTTCAGTCAGCAGAGCACGTGGAGGGTATTGGCAAGCCCCTTTGTGAGTCTAGGCAAGTGGCATTAGAAGAGATCCACGAAGAAACCCTTCCTGATGTTTCCCAGTGATACGGTGATGCTGGAAGAGCAGGCGGGCCAGGTGAATGCTTTCATCCCCAGATCTGTCAGGGCAATCCTGAGCCTCAGTCCCTATGTGCTCCCCCCCCGCCCCCAGCAGCCTCCTCTCTGACCCCCACCCCATGGGCTCTTCTTGTTGGGTCCACAGCTGCCAAGGCACGGCACAGGCAGGGAGGGATGCTCAGGCTGCCCTGCTCATGTGCTGGCAGGTGCTTTGACTCATGCCTAGGAAGGGAGCAGAGGCACTGCAAGGTTGCTGCCAGCCCAGGGCAGTTGCTAGTGCATCGCTCAGTTGATACCGAGGCTGCAAGCACCACAGTCTCACTGCTGTCTGCCCATTGCCATCATGGTGTGCTGGGCACCCTGCCATGATCCAGAGTGCAGGAGAGTCCCTGTCACTTCATTTTTCCTCTCTGGGGAGTCGCTGATCTCTGCCCAGTTTTGTTTGAACCTAGAGGTTCTGTTTTCCCTTGCTAAGTGTCACGCACAGGGCTGGAGCTGAGGGCAGCTGGGAAATGTTAGCAAAAGCCAAAGTATCCAGAGAAAATCCTTTCCCTGTTCTGAAGTGCTTTCCATTTTCCAAGCATTTCCAGAGGGGACTTGGTCTTGGCATGAGGCTCTTGTCCAAGAGACTCAGGGTGCAGGATGGGAAAAACCCAGCGTTGCTCTAGTCCAGCTCCTGGCGTTCGCCCTGGAGGTGCTTCGGAGGGCACAGGAAGCCCTGTGGACAGCCTCCTGCTTGTGCTGGCTGGGCAACTGGGTCTAACTGGGTGGTGAAACAAGCTGGGGAAGAGGAACTTAGCAAAGGTCACTTTGGTCACTTAGAAAACACACTGTTGGCCAGTCTGTGCATTTGATGGGCTCTCCGTGAGGTCCCAGCAAGGATAGTTTTGGATCTATAAGCTTGCAAGTGCTGCAAATATTCCCAGCCATATGTTGCTATAATATTTCACTGCTATTGTAAAATATTAATAAACAGGAAAAGCCAGCAGGCTGGAAAAGATGTGTTAGTCAAAGAATGCAGTAGAAATGTACGTGCAGAATGGCCAGAGTGGGTAGAGGGTGTCCCCTTACCTGCGTTGCTGCGTGGCATACCTGCCCCTCATCCTGGCTCATGGGAGTGATTGCAAACAAGGCGCAGGTCAGAAAGACCAGGATGTTCCCTGTGAACTACAAGGAGGAGTTGGTTGTGCTGGACAGCTGTACGGGGCGGGTGGCGGCCCTCTTCCCCCCGGGTGGCAAGAGAAGCCCAAGCTCCAGGATGGCTTGGGGGTGGCCCAGCCCTGGGCTGGGGCTGGGGAGCAGAGCTGCCATCCCCCAGGGCTGTCGAGACATGGAGGCTGCCAAGCAACAAACCTATGTTTAGCTATTCATTAAAGTTCCTTGCTTTGTCTGAGCTCTTCTTTTGTAACTTCATTTCTAAATATCATTTTCTGACGCCTTGATCAAGGAATACGTTCAGTTTATTCTATCCTTAAGCCTTGGCTGGCAGGAACATGATCCATTTCCTGAGAGCAGGGCATTCTGTTGCTTTGGGAGAGGCAGAACGTAATACGCTGTGAGCTGGTGAATGGCACTGGTTTCACCTCGTGCTAGCTGTGAGGTTCCCTGCAACCGTGTTTTGCCTGATGTGGGTCAATGTGGAGGTCCCCGGGGTCCAGATCCCCTTGCCTGCATGACTTGCCTCCTTACACAGGCCCTGACAGGCAGGATTTGAGACCTTTCAGTGCTGGTGGTTTCCATCTGCACTGAAGCGGATGGCTGTTTTTGGATTATGTTTGTTCTTTTGCATCCTGAGGCAGTGAGCTCCAGAGCGAAACAGGGCAGTGCAAGAAGTGCTTTTGTTTAACCGTGCCATCCAGTGGTCTCAGAGAAAGCCTATGCCAAATGGTGACCAATTGTCCTTGCACTACCTGGAGGGGTACAGATCATGCCTGAGTTGTGCGGGCCATTCCCTATATGATCTGTGGGTGGCACGTGGCCCCCATGGGCTTGCATGGGGCAGTGGGGTACTTGTGCTGGCCTGTGAGAGCCTCTGTGGGCTGCAGACCTGGGAGCACAGAAGGGGAGCCTACCGCTATGCTTACCACAAAGTGCCTAAAACATACTAGGCAGGAACTAATTCTCCTAGATTGAAGGATGCAGAACAAGAAGACTTGCAGAAGCTCCTCGTTTTCCAACTCTCGGCCTTGCTGCCAAATTTGGGTGGGGAAAAAGGAGCAGAATAGAAATGGGAGCGTCTATGGGTATGGGACTGGGCAAAACGCCCTACTTGCGTGTCTCTCTCCCACTTGCCGCTGCAGACTCACGCCTGCGTTTGGAGCGGGGAGGTTTAGTGCTCCCAGCGCTGCTTCTGTAACAGCAAGGGGAAGCTGTGAGTGGTGCTCAGGCCGTGATCTGCAGCAGGAGATTCGTCTGGTCTCTGCTTTGTGCCAAAGGCCTGGGTCACTGCAACGCTGTCCAAAGAAAGTGAGCCAGGCATCTCGCTGCGCAGAGACCGAGCGCTCGCTCCGCACCGGGCCAGAGCAGCCGAGGCAGACCAGGGCCCCCCACCTCTGCCTGTGCCCTGCTCCCAGCTCACTGGGGAACAGGATGCTTTGCTGGACCTGCAGGGGCAAGGCCATTGTTTCTTCCCTGGGACATTTACAGATTTCCCATGTTTTCAGGCGTTATTTTGGGGGGGGGGGGTTGTTTGTTTGTTTGTATGTTTGTTGTGAGGGGGTAGACAATAATATTTGAAAATGAAATTTTTATTTATTTTTTTGCTCCTACTTTGTTTAGGAAGAGACACCAGTATTGAACTGTCCACGCAGAATTAGTAACACACAAAAACTGATAATCTGTGATGTTTCTGAGGGGCAGATAGGATATTTCTCATTACACTTCCCCTGGATTTTTCAGAAGAAACATGTAGGCAGTTGTGGGGAAATTGCATGTGTTTTCAAAAGGCAAATTGGTGCTAATTAGTGATTCTGGGAGGAACTTTTCCGATTCTCTCTTCATACCTCCTTCCCTGTGCTTCCAGTGCCACCTTGGCTTGCTGGCATGGCCTCTCAAGCCGGTGCCCACATGGGTCCCACTGTGCACTCACGTGGGCTGCTCCGTGCACCCACGTGGGCTCCCCAGCAGCTCATCTCTGGCTCAGGTGCCCCATGCAAAGAGGAGGAAGAGTCTGTTGTGGAGGAGGAGTTGGCAGCCCCTCACACCAGACCTGATGAGCCGGGAGGTGTGTGTCTCACCATCGTGGTGCCATGTGTGGGCCAGTGCTCTTGGCAGGTTTTCAGGAAGGACTGAGAGTTTCTGAGGATTGTCATCGTTTGCGTTTTCTTTCATGCAGCTTCTCAGCGCTTGTGTGCTGCCCAGGATGGAAGCAACAAGGAAATGAGTGTTTAATAGGTAAGCATTGGCGTTTTGCTGTGTTAGACATTGCTCTTTTGTCCTCCCTTTACTGCGCCCTCCTAGCCTGGCCGGCTCTTCCCGCTGTTGAAGGCCTCCCATACTTGCTCAGCAGAGAATAGCCTTTACTGAGGGATCTCTGTGTACAGCTGGGCTCAGACGCTCCCCTGAGAGTCTAGAGACTTTCCTGTCTTTTTTTCAGCTCTCAGAGCAAGCATGGTGTGCGGACAGCAGATGGAAAGGGTGCTTCCCACGGCTCCTCTGGCAGCGCGTTCTGGGGTCCCCCATGTCCTGGGGGCCCCTGTCACAGAGCCAGGCCCCCAGGGACAGCCCTGCCTCCCACAGCAATGCTAGCTGCCCCAACGGCTGCCTGCTCCCTGGAGAGGGAGGGTGTCCCAGCCTCTCGCTGGCTCTTCTTTGGGGTCTGCAGGAGTCTGAGCCCCCTCCCAGGCCGGGAGGTTTTCCTCCATGCCAGGGCGGCCCCTCCAACTGCCCTGGATTCAAAGAGTGAGGGGGGCCGTTGAGGTTTTGGGGACTCTGCTCTCAGACACGAGGGGCAGCGAGGTGTCCTCCAGGGTCCGGCAAAGCCAGAGGTGTGGGTGGGGGTGTAAAGATGAGGGAAGGGGCAGTGGCAGGGATGGGACCCGGAGGGCTCCTGCGGATGTTGCTGCAGCGCTGGGAATCGAGCCTGAGCCTGCCAACAGCGAGTGGAGGAAAAAAATGCTGGGAACAGGCATGTGTCAGCTGTGGCCCATCAGGGAGAGTCCTGACAGCCGGGCCCGCCTGGAGGAAGCCAGGCTGTGAGCCAAGGGATGCCGAGCAGGCCAGCAGGAGGGCAGGAGCGGCAGCCGCTCGCTGCAGCGGGCAGGGTAGCTCTTGCTGGGGGCGTGCTGGACTTCACAGCGTTCTGGTCAGGGCTGCATGCTGGTGCCTGCGGAGGGCTACCACTTGGCACAGCGAGCCTGGTGCAGAGAGCGGCCGCAGGACCGGTGCGAGCAGCCAGCGAGCCTGCGAGCGCCGGGAGTTCTTGGATGCCTCAGTGCCCCAGTGTGCGGGAGGCTATTTTTAGGTTGCTGTGAAATTCCCCGCAGCTTCATCTGGCCGTGCTGTCTCTCGCTTCCTGTTGTGGAGCAGTCCTGGGGGCCACGCGGAGGCTCTGAGGGCTGCCCTGACAGGCCTGTGTTTCCAGGCAAGAGGAGAGGTTTCCTGTGTTTGTGCCAGGGGAGAGCCTTGCTGCAATTGCCCCGCTAAAGCCATAGAAACTCTGTGGGCAGGTCCATTGACTTGTAGCTGGGGGCAAGGATCACATAACAAACTAACTCACCGTGCATGAGTCCTCTTAACTGCTCTCTGCATGCGTTTGGTGCCTGTGCCCTGAAAATAGGACGTGGCCCCTACATCTTTCCATCAGGGAGCATGAAGGACAGATTTCCCAGGAGCTGGGAGGGAACAGTCCTATCAGGAAGAAAATGCAAGCTGTCCCTGTCTCCTCTCTCCCCTTCCCCCACAACCCTGCTCTAACCATTAGACTCACTGCTCCTAACCTGTTTAATCTGTCTATTTTAGGGTTTTCTATAGTATCCATCACCGTAGGTCTAAGAGCTCCCAGGTAAGGTGGATTGTATGAGTCTTCTGCTCTCCCTCTCCCTGTGGTTAAGGAGGCTCTGCTGGGGGAGACGCGCTGCCTGCCCACGCGTTCCCTCACCGCAGTGGTTTCTGTGGGCAGGCATGACTGCCCGCACAGGGAGGCTGTGCAGCGTGCCCCGTGATACTCTGCGCCTCCCCTCGCACAGGGAGTTCACCCTACCGCAAACTCCCCTCGACAGGAGATGGTCTTGTGGGCTTCGGTGGGCTGCTGGCCTGGCCTGGCCCAGGGACCAAGGTGCAATGGGAGACATGGTTTCTGGGGTGGCCGCGAGCCCACTGCTGTCCGCAGTGAGTGTGGGAAGGGGAATTGGGCTCATGGCCAGCTGCACACTCCCCCGCAGTGCCTCCGTCCTTCCCTGAGGCTGGAGCTAGCCCCTGCCCAGAGCTGCCTCTGCTAGGGATGTGGAGCTGCCTGGGGAGCCGGGAGAGAACCTGTCCCATTCTGGGAGCGAGAGCTGCTGCTGCTGGGACAGAGCTGAGCAGGGTGGCTGGTGGCATCTTTCTGGTGAGGTCCCTGTCCAGTCTTGCAGGGGACAGGCACCATGCCAGGGCTTAGCAGCACCCAGAGCACACCCACACACCCCTTCCCATGCCCAGGGCCATCTGCGGCTATCTCAGACACCTGGGGACTGGCAGAGCTGGTGTCTGCACTCTGCAGGGCAGGGTGGGATGGGAAGGCATGGCCAGTGTGGGGCTCATCTCCGTAGGCACTGGGAAATGTGTCTCGTGGAACCTGGTGCCCCAGGACTGGCAGGGGCCGGGCCACGCAAGCTGGCCTTGCCCTGCCCGTGCTGCACAGTCACAGGTGCCATCTGTCCATCTGTCCAGCTGTGTGCGAGGGGAACTTCACCTGCAAGGAGAACGAGGTGTGTGTGAGGCCCAGCGAGTGCCGCTGTCGCCACGGGTACTTTGGCGCCAACTGCGACACCAGTGAGTACCAGTGGACACCGCATGGCATGGCATGGCCCCTTCTCCCACATCACCTGCGAGTGAGCATAGCGCCCATCCGGTTTGTGCAAACAAGAGTTCCTCTCCAGGGCTGCCCCACTAACTGCAGCCCTGGGCTGATGTATCCCTTCAGAGGCACCAGCCAGCACCGGGGCCTGGTGTCCGGCTCCAAGGGGCACGGTTTGCCCCAGGACCTGATTATTTTCACCATATAGACTGATCTGGTGCCCTGTCCTTGTCCCAGCTTGGGACCACCAGTGCCTGCTCAAGGTAGGCAGCTCCCAGGACCCTGCACGTCCTCAGCACTATTAGCTGGGATGGCCCCAGGGCTAATGCGCTGGATCATCATGGGATGACATTACAGAGAAGAGTATCAGAGAAAGGTGTCTGCAAACACTGCGATGCTCCTGCTCTGCCCTGCCCACCTTGCCAGTCCCCTGATTTTATGCCCAGGGTGTCATCCCTTAGGAGGGGTCTCCTCTCTGATCCAATCCTCTAAATCTGGACTGAGAGGAGAGGAGAGGGTGTGCTGTCTGGTGGGGACCATGGTCAAAAGATCCAATTTGGGGTGGGGGGTCTCCACGGTGCAGGAGTTGGTTAGCGGCCAGGATATGGGGGGTCATGGGGAGGTGCCACGTGCCATGGCTGGGACTGCCTACCATTACCTCCTGGTGCCTCGGTTGTTCTGCAGAGTGTCCCCGCCAGTTCTGGGGTCCTGACTGCAAGGAGATGTGCAGCTGCCACCCAAATGGCCAGTGCGAGGATGTGACAGGCCAGTGCACCTGCAACCCCAACCGCTGGGGGCCCAAGTGTGAAAATGGCTGCCTTTGCAAGCATGGCAAGTGTGATCAGAAAACGGGCAAATGCACCTGTGAGCCCAACTGGTGGGGTCCCCAGTGCTCCAGCTCCTGCTACTGCAGCCACAACTCACAGTGCGACCAGCAGACAGGGAGCTGCCTGTGCCAGCCAGGCTGGTGGGGCCGTGGCTGCAACAATCAGTGTTCCTGCAACAACTCACCCTGCGAGCAGTTTACAGGGCGCTGCCAGTGCCGTGACCGGACATTTGGGCCACGCTGCGACCGCTACTGCCAGTGCTACAAGGGCAAATGCAACCAGGTGGACGGGACCTGCACTTGTGAGCCAGGATACCGGGGCAAATACTGCCGTGAACCTTGCCCAGCTGGCTTCTACGGCCAAGGCTGCAGGAGGCGGTAAGTGTTCAGACCTCGCTGTGCCACACTGGGCCCTGCTCTAGCCTTTGGCACTGACCCGTGCTCTGACAGACTGCACTCATGTCACGTACTGGGGAAGACAGAGAGGAGGGAAAGGGCCAGCATGGGTGTCCTGCCTGCTGGGTCTCTGGAAGGGGTGATGGAAAACCCCATGCCAGAGTGTGCAGGATGGCATCTGATTTTGGCAGATGTGAATGATGGAGCACTAAGCACAGGAGATGGGTCTTGTCAGGGTAAAGTTGGAAGATAACTTAGGGGCTGTGCTCAGGCTCTGCATGGCTAGGAACTCAAAGCAACCATGGGGGTGCTGCAATATGTGACATTTCCTTCCTTGACCATTGTAGCTGTGGACAGTGCAAGAGTCTGCAGCCTTGCACTGTCGCTGACGGACGCTGCCTAACCTGTGAGGCTGGCTGGAACGGCACCAAGTGTGACCAGCCCTGCTCACCCGGCTTCTATGGAGAGGGCTGCGAGAAAATTTGTCCTCCATGCAAAGATGGTCACACCTGCAACCACATCAATGGCAAGTGCTCACACTGCAACCCTGGCTGGATTGGAGACCGGTGAGTCAGGCTGAAGGGCTGAGGCTACATGTGGGAACGGACTGGCCCAGGCCGCTTAATACCAGTGGGCCTGCCATGAGGCAACATAGCTGGTCCCCACCAGGCTCTGGCATCTTGGTGGAGCAGTGTCAAAGCCTCTCTGCTAGCCCATGACCAGAGAGCCCAGAGGCAGACTTGTGGCTGTGGCCCATGTCTCTGCAACCAGGAGGGGAGGACAGAGGTGGGTTGAGCCTGCTGGCCTGGCTGTGGGACCATAGGAAGCCTGCCTGACCCCGTCCCTGTGACCTGGTATGTCTATTGGTTGATCCCAGGGTAACCTTAGGAGCTCAAACAGAACTCGGAGCGGTCCTGGCACCACGCAGCCCCGTCTCCCTCCCTGGTAGCTCCGCTGAGCAGGCAGGAGGGCCAGGTGCTGACCTACAGCTCTTGGTGAGCAGCAGCTCACAGCACAGGGCAGTAGGGCTGGAAGGGATGATGCTGGGGAGCTAGCTGTATCCACTGCCTGCTGCTGCCCTCAGGGCCTCTCATTCCCTTCCCTGGAGAGAAGAAGGGCTTGTGAAATAGTGACCGTTGTCCCATTTGCCAAAGAAAAACTGGTCCCCATGGGCTCCTGGGATGCTCTAGCTGCTTCTTTTCACATGCTCCCTAGGTGTGAAACCAAGTGTCGAAACGGGACGTACGGCGAGAACTGTGCCTTCGTGTGCAGCGACTGCGTCAATGGCGAGTGTCACTTCGAGACGGGCAGATGCCTCTGCCGGGCAGGGTCCCATGGCACTTAGTAAGTGAGCAGCACCTGAGCGTGCTTTGGGACAGACCTTGGGCATGTGCACCATTCCAGTGAGTTCAGAGCAATCTGCCGTGTGCCAGCCAGGCTGGGAGGAGCAGAGGGGTGCTGCCATTTTGGCGGGGGTACACTGAATTCCCAGGGTGGGTGCCGAATGATGTGCTGTGTGTCTGCACTGGATAGAGCCCACCATGTACTTGCACAGAGCTCATCTTCACTTCTTGCATATCTGGAGTGAAAGTTTTTGAGGCCTATTTGGGCAGATTTCAGAGCCCGGATCCCTTGAGCAGCTCCATAATTGTTCTGTTTCTCCAGAGCCTTGCTTCCTAGCAGGGGA